GAACACTCGACACGCGTCTCCAACTAGAGAAGCAGGGGCCACCGGGTGCACAGTCTTTTCTGCAATACTATTATTATTTTATTTGCGCTGTCGAACATGAAATCCTATGCCCTGTGTTTCATGAATCTTAAGTGAGCTCATAATGCAGCTACTTTAAAATTACTTTTAAGTACTTACTTATTTCTCTCAGACCGAAATAAAGTTTTATACTTTGAATGCTTAAAAACACTTGACTAGTTAGAAACTTTGTATCGTTTTAAGTGTTGAAAGAAAACAATACCAATAGGGGAAACATATCTATCTATCTATCTTCTATATAAATAAAAATAAATCGCCGAAATGTATGTTCGCGCATAACTGCCGAACTTTTTTGTGTTCGTTATTTTTAGGACAAGGTTTGTATGAAAGAAAAATTTTAAAAAATCTTTTTTTTAAATCTCATAATATTAAAGTGAATGAAAATGAAAAGACAGAGATCTTCAATATATTGACAAATCATTGACAGATTGACGTTTAGTTCGAATTATTGATAATTCAACTGATTTGCATTTACCGGAAGTGTTACATTTCCTTAGTCTGCGACTGTACACCACCCGTATGAAGTCGAGGCGGGAATAAATAGTAAAACAAGTCTTTAAGGGATGTCGAAAATATTCACGAAAAAAAATCACGTCACGAAATTCGCCGGGTCAGCTAGTATATTATTTACTTTTATGAAAATACTTCGAATACGATTCTGCTCTAATTTGAAAGCGCGTAACAAATTTACAGACTATATAAATACCTAGGCAGTCGGGGTAAAAACTGTGTAGGCTATTATTATTCACTACAGACTAAGACTATTATTAGTCATTTAAAAAGAAACATTCAAGGCAAAGTAAATTTACTTTATACTTATCGAAGTACTACATTGTCGGTGTCAAGTTGCGAACGGCAATGATTGGCCCGATTTCTTGCCACCGCCTTATTTCCATCTTATTACCGGCAGCGAGGCGATATTAAAGCGGGCGCTATGCCGCCACCCGCGTCTCCGCCCTGTCTTTGCGTCCGTGAATTAGGTTAATGGCCTGCCAGGTGATTTCCTTCTAAGCCGTATTTCGAGCAAAGCGGCATCACCTCAACACGCCATTGTCGTTGAAACAACTCTAAATGTGCAACTTATTAGGTTAAAAATCTTCATGTGTCCAACATCTCGTATTCGAATTTTATATTATAATATAGTTTTAGAGGCTCCTGTACAAATAACAATCTTCAAGAGCTAACAGGGTTCTGAAATAAGATTTAGTACGCAGGAATTCATTTAGGCACGAAATATTTTCATAAACAAAATACTTTGTAGATAACTATCTATTAGCATAGCTACTTGAAATTCCTTTGTATTATCAGCAGTGACAGAGTGCTTTAAATATACTTACTTACATTATGCCATCTGAGGGTTCCCGTGGGTGCTTTTGATTTATGGCACAAAGTCGCGCCGCAGAACGGCGCCCGCCGACGGGGCTGCAGCCACTGCCGTAGGGGTTTTTGCGACCCCACCACCCTCTCTCAGCAGTCACACTTTCAGCCTAACAAAAACTGATCATGTAGAGCAGTCAGTAATGTCTACAGAAATTAGAAGTTAAAATTTCTGTAAACATTACTAAATGGAAGAGTCTTGGTAGTTACAGGAAATTTACATTACATTCTTTAGCTTTTAGCATTAGCAACGTCTGCAAATTGCAATAAACATTTTGTATTATAAAAAAAATGAAGATAAAAAAAATATAGAATAGGGGGCAAACGAGCAGACGGGTCACCTGATGGAAAGCGACTACTGCCTACTACTGCTACTAATTTGTTTTAACTCTATCTTAGAACGGTAAGTATATTGTAACGCGAGATTGTTTTTGTTTGAGACTGCAAATTAATCTGTAGTCGACACATCGCCGTTTTGTTATGGCATTAGAAAGAAATAATAAAAGTCAAAGATAATAATAATTACAATTTCGCAAAACAGACGGCAAGTACTTTAGACGACATTCCAATTATTACCGATGGACTAACATTTTAAATGCTTATTTTCTATGAACTTTTGTCTTTATACAAATATATCTATTTCCTTCATATCCTATTTTAATTTAGTAATTAACCCATAATTACTTCACATGCACATAATTGCCATTGTTGTTACGATCTTCTTGTGTAAATAGATGATATTTATGCGGTGTGTGCTCAAAGTGTTGGCCTGTTAACCTTCATTCAAATAATCTTATTATAAGATCAAAGTGCGCTATGCGCTATGATCTTTCCCTCGCGTGCGGACTCCGAAAGCCTTCTCTACCTACAATCAATATTCCAAAAGCACCTATAAACGACTTTATCCACTACCTTTTGAAAGCTTGTTTTCCCAAAGGTACACCTTGATAAAAAATCTGTAAAGCCATCAAACCGTCCGCCCTGAATTCAAGTACGACTCACGAGACGCAATAGTTACATTAACTTTTAAAAGCCATTACGTTGCTTTTTGTGGTTACTATTTTTGATATCTCCAAATTTTATGTTCATATTTTTTACGTGTTCTAAAAATGTTTTTATGGGAAATTATAATAATTAATAATAACGATATAAGCTAACTGTAAAGGTTACTACATGAAATAATACTTTATAAAAGCGTACAGGACAATGCAGGATCTTGTAAAGTAAGTGATAATTGTGAATGTATGTATCCTGTGATTGAGGTATACACAGCGATCTAGATAAAATTTAAGAAACAATAATCGAGTCTAATTCAGTCTTTCACTAAAACAGCTTGTTAATATAAAATTTTGGCATTTTGCTTAATTTTGACTTCTAAATATGTAGAAAACTAGGTAACCGTATTATTAATGAGTTGTAGTATAACTGTAAAAAAATATGTAAAATATACTACAATCCACCGAAATGTGATTATTAAAATCGGCATTACATTTTTTAGACAACAGATTAAGTAATTGAGAAATAAACCAATAGAAAGTTCATTTGTAACAGATTTCATATAACCAGTATCCATAATATGTCTCATTTGACGATGTTTTAGTGCGTACAGCGTATTTCCGTGTGTCGCATTGGGTGTGGTGAGACAAAAAGTAATTAATTAATTACTGTGGGGACTCTCTTTGTATTACTTACAAAAATATGTGTTGCGATCATCCCCTGGACAAAATACGAATTAATTATCTTAAATCACATATGTCAATTAGAATACAAACCCTAGCTTGTGTCCTAATTTAAGACATATGTTATTTAAGTATTCATAAATTATACGTATTTAAACATCCTATTTCATTGTTACAGTGTCAGTAACATTGTTAATTTTAAACTAGTATCTAATCGTGTAGAAGAACAACGGCTAGGGGAGAGTGAAAATATATATAGTTTTACAATTCATAAATAAGCATAAAACTATTGATGATAATGATAAGGCAAAAACATTTTTTTTAAATTTAAATCTTGTTAAAAATAAATTTCCTCATAACTACCTGGAGGTAATGTTTCTCACTGATTCAGTAAGTTACAGATTTCTAGAATCTTTCTAAGCATATACATACATATATATTTTAAAACTATACTTGTACTAAAATGAAAAGGACTAAAATTTTACTTTATACACAATATATTGTATTTTCTAGAAGTTATGTCATTCTCGCTTGTCTGCAGGCATCAATTGTCCATGAAAGTGAAACAGATGTCAACTACAGCTGGTTGAAGGGGACCAAATGATATAAAAATTACAATTTGACCCGAAGTCAACCAGCTAAAGCGAACAACGCTTACACTTTCACCGTTTGCAGCACCTCCGTGCAAGATCTTCAAATGCTTCAGTCTAAATTCTTGTCTTCTTTATTATATTATGTTCACTCATGTTTATCTTCATCTTGGCTCTTGATATATAATATTAAGCGTGTTTAAAAAGTACTTTGCGTGGGTTAGTGCGAAAAAAAAAGCTGTTTCATGAAGCTTTGTGTCATCGGCATGCTTAAGAAATATATATTTAGAAAGGTGTAAAATTTAACGTATACAGTGAAACAGATGACTCCAGGAATAGCTTGTAGTGCGAGGTGCGAGGGCGAGGGCGAGCGCGGCGTGGCGCGGCGGCGGCGGCGACGGGCGGTGGCGAAGCCCGCATCGCCGCCTCCACATATAGGGCTGGCCTCAGCTCTGTCTGCAATCAGACGCAGTGTAAGCTTACCCACCGAGAGCCGCTCAGGAGCATACGCCGCCGCCGCCGCACCGGCGCGCCGACATTGACGCGCCGTATGTAACCGTACACGCCGCCTTGCTATTTTGGTCTCGTCCGGTGCACTAATTCGGGCAGGGTTAACGCGTTGGCCTCCCCGATCGCTGCCAGTCGTTACACACTTCCGTCTTCGTTCTTCATGTCGACACTCATTTTCATTACGGTTCGTTTCTTTTATTTGTACTACAAAGTCACAGCACAGTAAAGTTCTTACTTGGAAATCGGTTAATTTAATTTGTTGTACGGAACCAGGATGTTCAACTTTTGGACTCGACTACCTCGACGTCATCGACCTGACGTAAGCACCGGACGAGAGGTTCGTTGACACCTAGCTGGTCTGACCTTGTATATCGTCATGTTTAACCCAAAAATATTTTTATCGGAAACATTATAACCCCCGGAAAAGGAAAAATACGAAATAGCCCGAGAATTTTGATAGAGTTTCATTAATAAAAGAGGTGACCGACCTCAGGCGCTCAGGTGAGAAACGCGGTGGCACCTCAGGTCGCCGCTCTACGTTCGCGAATGCATTCCGACCGACGACGACGCGACATCGCGAACCTACTAACCCCGCGTAGCGAGGGGCCCTGCGCCCCGCGACCCTCCGAATCCGCCGAACCCCCTCCCCCTGCCCCCTTCCGGTCCATCCAAAAGCTTCGAAAATACTCGACGGCTATACGCGCGTGTAAGGTCAAATTAATGAGAGACAATTCTTAAAATTTTGTCGAATATGATAAATCATTAATTAGACATGCGAATCCGTCATAGGGATGTAATTAACGATCGTAGGTAGAGCGAATTGTGGAGAGCGACGCGTGACGAGAGCGCGGGGCGGGCGGGCGGCAACACGGGCGGCTAGGGCGGGCGGGTCTCGCGTCTCGACTGAGAGGCGCGCAGCATCGCGCCGCCGCGCCGCGCTGCCCCGCGCCCTCTGGGGCCCCCGCGCTCCCGCAGGCGCCGCCGCCACGAGCCGCACTGTCTGCGGCGTCTGCAGGCCATCACTACCCGCGCATGCCAAGCGTACACCACCTATTCACCTGCCTTGGGAAAAAGTTAACTTTACACACCAATACCTAACAACTTATATACGCCACGTACCTATATAAATACTCATTAGCAAAATATATTTAAATTTTCACTACAAACAACAATAGACTTTGCTAGTTCTTACACTGAATCTGTTACACTGTAAGACTTCTCACTGAATAAATTGACCTCGAAGAAGCTCGGTGTACTGAACAGATTGAGCAGTATTTCACTCCAGCCCATCCCCTCCAACTCTCTAAGGCTCAAGACCGACCGCATATGGAATAGTGTTCTCATCTCTATGCAGGGACACCACAGTACCAGCTTCTCCTTCTGGACCGTATCCAAAGAAGAACGACTCGAATCGTCGATAGCCAAAAGATTTTCGACCGACTCGATCCCTTGGCGTTACGTAGAGATGTAGCTTCGATCTGCATTCTCTATCATATATATCATGGAGAGTGCTCCGAGGAATTGTTCGGACAAATACCGGCTGCAACCTTCCGCCATCGTTCCACACTGCAAAATTTTCATCCCCGCCACTTGGATAATTGGTGCTACACCACTGGACGCTTTTCAAGACACTTTTTGCCTCGCACTATCAATCTGTGGAACAAGTTATCGGCTGCGGCATTTCCGGACCATTTCAAGAAAAGAGCGTACACCTTCCTCAAAGGCTGGTAACGCGCTTGTGACTCCTGAGTTGCACGCGTTCATAGGCGGCGGTAGTCGCTTTCCATCAGTTGACCTTTTTGCTCGTTTGCTCACTATTACATAAAAAAAAGAAACATACATTAGGACACTGTAAATTCATTGCTCAGAAACTGAATAGTAAAACATTATAGATTATTTCTTAGTGTACTTGCACAAGATAAATTCACTATGTGGTCAAAAGCTCCTTTTTTTAACCGACTTCAAAAACAGGAGGTTATCAATTCGTCTGTATTTCTTTAGTATGTTTGTTAGCGATATATCCGTCAATTGTGGACCGAATTTCAAAATTCTTTTTGGGATCGAGAGAAATCGGGATCTGATGATGGGATCCTAGAGAAATCGAGGGAAACCATTAAATTTTACAGCCCTGACAACGTGTTTAGCTTATTTCTCTAGCTTCATAGGTATTTGCGTTTAGTAGTCGTTATGTCATGTTGCTGAGCTGATAATGGAATGGTCCTTGACTTTTAGGAGTTACAGGATAACTCTTTCAAAAATCTAGTAGTCTAGCGTTTAGTAGTGGTCAACTTCAAACAGACTAGAAGGGACTATTGCTATTATAATGTTACCTGATATATTGAGGGTACTTATTATAGATTTTTTATTTAGATTTGTAATTTTTAGTTCTCTTTGTCAGTATTGTTTGAAGGCGGTTTTTCGTACTTTTTTTTAAAGGATTTATCAGTAAGTAAAACTTTTCCTCCCCTATGTGGTTTTCAGAAAGAATACCTCCTAGGTTACCTAGTAAACTAATAACCTAGCCTATAAAAATATTTTACTTTATTTTAAACTCCTGGACATTCAAAAATGAAATCTATTCCGAATTTATTTAACTGATTTAATTAATTACTCAATAAGCATTGGAAAGAACTCACTTTCACCTTTTTCAACGCACGTGTGCCTCTTGAGTTACAGGTGTCTATGTCATTGGCGGTAGTCATTTACTTTAAGGTAACTCGACTGCTTGTTTGCACTCTACTAAAAAATATATACTCACAATTTTCTTATTTCTTATATTTCATAGATTTCTTTCCTTATATATCTAGTGCTGGTGCGGTATGCGGTGCATCTTAGTCTATGAACACACGCTGGAAGAAGGTCATTCTTTTGTCCACTTAAATTGGTTGATTTAGAGAGAAGCTAGTTGTAAACATTAACTATACTTAATTCCATAAAGCGCCAAGAGTCCTCTCTCATTATACAAATAATAATTTAAAAGAGAAGTCATCACGAATGTGCACTAAATCCCGACTAGGTGTCTTAACATCTAAATATAAATCTTAATTTAATCTGTTCTTCTTTAGGGGCACGGCAGTACTTCCGTTAAATACATATATACAAATATGTATAACAAGGTATATTTTCAAATTTTATTCAATTGCGATCTGTAAACTGTAAAACTTTACAAGTCTACGTTTCTTCATTTTGTTACTGATGTTAGCATTTTTTATCGGGTCATTAGTGACATTATCAGCATCATCATGGCAGGGATTATCAAAATCCAACGTACTTCTACCAGATACACCAGCCTCAAATTTCAAACAAAGCAGTTCTAGTTTTTCCTTCTTTTATTGGCTAAACGCTACGGTCTATAAAGAAGAACTACAATTTACCGCAATTTCAACATCTCTTTCTAGATAAATACAATATAAGTACTAGATAAGTCAGAGTAACTTCACTTTGAGTCACTCAGAGTCACTTTGAGAGTTTATATGATTCTTCGACACTTGCACTATCAAAATAGGTAAGTACCTAGCTTAATGTAGATAGGTAGATTAAATCTAAAACAAGAGAAGTTTTCCTTTAACATACATAAAAAATGAGATGACAACAAAATTGTTACATGTAAAAAATGCACTTATTTACCCATTACCCATTTACTGAACTAATATTAGTTATATTTATTTCTTGAATAAAAATAAACATGTGGGGTCACGGTAGTGGCTCCGCCAAGACGAGCCAGGCGAAGTGCAAGGGCTACCTACCTTTTCTCATTTCGTCGTTTCGTCATTTTTTTTAACCCTTATAACTTGGGTTTGGTTTATACCAGATAAACAAAATTCTCGGGATACGTTTTCAATAGTGGATTTATTGGACATATAAAGTTTCAATTGTATTTAATTGTATTTGTAACTTATACTTTTGATTTTATTTATATCTAAAAACCCCGATTTTGTCACTGACTCACTGATGATCATCAAAATTCTTCGGGTACGTCCTAGGAAGCGGAAATTTGGTTTGTAAGCTAGCATAATGACACAAACAACTATAACTTGGAACTTTTATCCACCCACCCCTTAAACTAAGGGATGGAAGTTTGTATAAGACTTCCGCAAATGTTGATGCTAGAAGTCTAAAAATTCCGCATCCTTGTTATACGAAAAAAAGGAGGACTTATTGTTATTCGAAAGAAAAAATAAAAAAAAATATTTATATAAGCAACTTACAAAAAGAAGTGAAATCCCACCAAAAACATTTTCATTTAACATGTTGCCAAAACGAGACCATAGGGCTCGCACTGTTAAAAAAAATATCAATTTCATGAAGAGCCAAGCTTCTAACTCTACACGCCCTACCTCTACAAGCCCTAACTTCACAAATTGTACAACTTAGTCAAAATATGTGGCTTGGCCGTTTCGTTGCCGTCACATAGATGTAAGGTGAAAATGTTTATTACTTTTCTGTTATACAATAGTTCGGTCAATCAAAACGAAACGACCAAGCTAAATATTTGACTAATATGTAGAGTTTGTGAAGTTAGGGCTTGTAGAGTTAGAAACTTGGCTCTACATGAGCTATGATAAATTTATGTCTCGTCTCGTCTTGGCACATGTAAATCAGTGTTTAGTAACAGACAGTTAACATTTGTTGAACACATATGAATTGACGGAACTTAAACTATTAAACAGTACGCGTTTAAAGACTTTCCATTTTTTGAGAATAAAACTAATAAGTGATCTATCTACTATTTGATATAAAGAAAGTTTCCACTTATATCACAAAAAACTGTTAACTAGTTTGTTATAAACATAAATTAATTTTGACGTCTATTCCGGTTCTATCTATAAGAGAAAATAAAAAATCCATTAAGAGTCTACCCTTTTCGTCTATGCAACTGGTTTGCTCTTGTTTAATGAGAAGTAAAACATAGAATTGTGTTGATAAGAATGCAGATCACGTACAGAATACTCAAACGTCTTCTCAATTTAATAGTCAAGCGCGCTTTTCTCTTGTACATTTATTATGTTTTCATTGGTTATTCTTTATATCTACTGTTTTAATTGAGATACGCTGTTCGTTTAGGTACAAGAATACTCGCTGAAAATTTAATTTGAACTTTTGCCCAATTCAATTGATTGAGTTGGTGTGAAGCTTGGTGTGATCATTTAGCTTAAACTTAATGTTGCAGTGCAGCACACATCCTCTTCATAGTTTATTATATCTACTTTGGAGATTATTTACATAAATACTATATCGCAATAAAAACGATTATGATCAAAATATAAAATATTTAAGTATTTAGACAAAGCGAGTGCACAAACTTAAGCTATGCCATACAAAATATATAAAACTTCATTAGCCATTTTCTATCCCTCTTGTTCAAGTCCTATCGCTTCAGTCACGGTCCACTTGCTTTTGGCGGAGACTAAAGCACTCAGTACGTGTGATACAAGCCCCACGTAACTACTTAGTTTCCCCTCGCATTGAGTGTGACGGAGGCATACCTTTTTTGTTAGCACAGTTGTGCCAAGTAGATCTCAGGTCTTGTAAATGTGAGTCAAAATTAATTTTCGGCACACAAAACAAATGTTGTACAAAATATGTTTATTTATTTATTTATTTAATTTTAAACTATGCATTTTGTACATCGCCGGCCTAATTGTCTAGTGCTTTTTTTTTCAGTCTACCTTTGGTGATGTAAAAATCTTGTAAGGTAGATGCGCTGAGGTTACATATTATGTAATCAATGAAAATATACACAGTTTACTGTATACATTAACTTATAGATACACATAAACACACGTCATAAATACACATATTTACATAATATACGTACACTATACTTCTACTATCCACCAGAATTTAAGGTATACATACTTTTACAATTTTATAATACATATAAAAAACTTTACACAACAAATGACATAATATGAAACAGGACTAGTTTAGACTAGTACTAGCTAGTAACTAACTAGACTGGGCTTTAAAGGGTTTAGTGTTTGCATCAACTACAAAACTTTATTGCAATTTATTACCACTCAAAGCAGGCTATTTACATAGCATACAAAACAGTATGTCCAAGCAAAATGTCTATCGACAGGCAATAAACTAGGGATTTGGGGCTTTTAGCCTGATGTCACAGATACCCAATCG